ATTTCCAGATGTCCAAGTGGTGAAGAGACTCTGTAATTGTAAACTAATACAACCTTCACAGAATCTATCAGAGTATTTTGTCAATTTACACTTGTTGCATTCTTTTGGTTTTCCCTCTTTATTTTTTGCATTATATAATTCAAACTCATAAATAAACTCTTCTTTACAAAATTCTTTTTCAATTTCAGAAAGCTCCTTGTTTTTTTGGACTAATGAAAAAAAATATTCTTTTTCATTTTCTCTATCAGAATTAACATAAGCATTATCATACATTTCATCATAAATTTTAAATACAAGTTCCCGTCTTCCTAGTGTTAACAGTGATAATAATTTGTAAAATGACATTATATAAAATGAATAGTGTAGAAAGGGGGTTTTTTGAGAATAATGCTAATAACTCTTTTTTCTTTGCGGGGTGTGTAACAAACAATTTTCTCACAATATTTATTCGTTCATAATAATTCACATATTTTAAACTTTTGTTACATGTATTATGTAAAGGTCGTTCTACGTACTTAATAAACAAAATTAAAAAAGTAAATTAATTGGAAAATGACGCATAGTTGAAAATACCTGTGAACATAAATCGTAGACTTTGAATTGAAAATTAGTTATTGTCTTGAGATTAATTGAATTGATTCGTCCATGTTCTGTTACAGGATAATAAATCTGATTCAATACTAATAATTTAGCATTGTCATCTTCTCCATTGTTATTTTTGTTCGTAGGGAAATATGGTGATGGTTGACATTTTTAAAAAGAAGATATTATTTCAAGAGGTGAAATGTTTCATTAAACAAGAAACAAACATTGATGATGATGATGACGAAAAGATGGGGAAAAAAAATGTCGAGAAGAGTTTCATTGATAATTCAAATCAATAGATGATGGAACACTGATAAACAACATATTTTGTGAGACATTTTTTGAACATCGTGATGAACAACCTCAAACTAAATTTGAAAATTATTGAAATACTGCATCTAAAGTCTTTACTGAATTGAGGTTAACCACCAATTTATTCAGAAGATGGTTTAATCAATTTTTTGTGCAAATTTTATTGCAATAATTTTTCTATTCATGATTATCAAATATTTACCTTTGGTGATGGATCTGTTTTATAAATTTAATTCCACTCAAATTTATTTATATATATTATTTCCTTCATCATGATCTACTTATTTCCTTTTTTCTCTAAAATAATAATAGCATAGATATCCTATTGGAGCATTAATTAATCATTTTTGTCAGCCAAATTCAATTGTTATGTATGATGGCGAAGTACAACTAATCAGGACTATAGAGGGTATCAGTGAAGGGAAGAAATCACCATACCATATAACGATATTGCAAATAGATAATAAATCCAGACAAAGAATTTTGAGAGAAAAACACTTTTTTAGATGTAAATGTCTAAGATGTTCACTTGAACCTGATGATGATGATGATGAAATAAATAAATATAGGAGAAAAGTGTAGACAAAAATTGATTTAATAATGGAAGTTGAATAAATAATTGAGGAACTGATGACAATAGGGAAATTTTAAAAAACTGGTTAATGTTACAACTTGCAAAGAATATCAATCTGGATTCATCATCGTCATCATCATCAGAAGTGGCTTTTAATTCAATAATTTCATCAGTATTATCATTGATTTTACCACATATTAGAAATGATACATCTAAAGATGAATACATGAAATCTCTTGATGAATTCTTGACTAATTTACCATCACCAGATTTTCCGACTCATAATCCATACTCAAAATTAGCACTTTCAGTTTCAAACATTTTTTTTGAATTTATTGATTCACTTGAATGGGATAAAACATCAATAATAGGAAGATTCGTGTTGGCCATTTATCTTTGATTTATCCAAGATTTCACCCAGTAGTTGGATTGCATTTATTATTTATTTACATTGGGCAAGTGCGCTTGGAATGATTCAATCAAAAACAATGAGAAGATAAAACAAACTGTTGAAATATTACAATTAGTGAAAAGAGTATTTGAAATTACTTATGATGTAGGGGATAAAAATAAGGAAATGATTGATGAGGTGAATGAATAGCTTATAATTGCACAAAAGGAATTTAAAAAAAAATTTAAAGTTATTTATTTAAAAGAATATAATATTTTAGGTGATCTAACAAGTATTTTGACGCTAAAATCAAATAATAATAATAATAATAATAATAATAATAATTAGTGATGTTTATTTTATTTCAAAAAACAAAAATAATATATTTTAATTACTTACAAAACTATTTGATACACAAACATATCTTAGACAAAATCCAACATAGTTGATACATAACTTCTTTAAAAAAAAAAAACAGATTATCAGATATATAATTAAATTCCTCCACAAAAAAATAAAGGAAAGGTTGGATATTTACTTGACCAATTGGACACGGCAAACTTGCTGAAGGTGGACAATATTGTTTGATATAATAATTGCCAACAACATTTTCAGGTCGATTCACAAAAAAAATAATCGAGATACCTAAAGTTTTGAACTTAAAAAATTAATTCATATAATAATAATAATAACAAAATAATATGTTTTCTTCCAAAAATAAAGGGTTTACCAGTGAGAATAAATGTAATCAAGATAAATAAAAACATTCCAAACCAAAATGCAGTTGAAGGATCACCATCTTGATCCAAAAGACTTGAAAAGAAATTTTTTTTTCGATGACGTGAAGATAATGGCATTGCTGATGTTGGTGGTAAGGCCTTGTCCTCTTCTACTATTTTTTGGAGACGATGTTTATATTGTTTTAGTGGTGTTTCTTCTTCAAACAAATGCATTTGTAGATTCTTTTCATTTTTTTGATTTTGTGATGATGATGATGTATTTATAGATTGCATCGATTGTGATTCTTGATCATATTGTTGCTTATTTGTTGTTGCTGTTGTTGCTGTGGTGAGTACTGGTGCTGATAATGGTTCATGAAGTTGTGTGACATGATGTAACATGTTGTTTGTCAAAGACAATTGATTAATTGCAAAGACGGAAAGAATTAATTGAAAGAAATTTTCCGTGGTGGGCTTTTTTATAATACCAAAAATAGTTTTACCTAACTATTTTAGCCATACAGAACCGGTTTCTGACAAACCAGCATAGTAAGCACAGTAATAGCTAAAATCCTTTTATGAATGGATATGCGTTACACAACATCACCTAAAAATTTCCACGAATGTTCTATTTTTTGTTCTTTTCGGAATTGGATTTTGACTATTATTAATTTTTTTAGACTAATGAAAAAAAATGAACTTTTCTACTTTCTTTTTCAGAATTAATAGAATTAAAAAAAGCATTCTCATACGTTTTATTATAAATTTTAGGTACAAGTTCTGGTGATAACGATGATAATAATTTGTAATATAAAATAAGTGTAATGGAGAAAATGGGGGAGGAGGAGGTTCGAGAATAACGTTAATTCATAATTCTTTTTTTTTTTTTTTGCTCGCAATATTATTCGTACATTTTCTGGTGATAATAATAATAGTAATTCACATTTTTTAATTTTTGTTATATAGTTGGTTCGGTCTAAAGACCTCTTAAATTTTTAGCATATTTAAAAGTATAGAAGTCATTTTCTGTACTACCTTTTAAAAAAATAGACTCATTAATTGGTAAAATAGGTTTCTAGTTTTAATGTAATGAAGAGATTTTCTCCAAAAAATTATTCGTTGTAGTGTTCTATTCTTTTTTAGAACATGTATATACCTTACTATCACTATGTTCGTGAAGAATTCGAGTTACTACGATCGTCACTAAATTTAGTTTAGTTTTAGATAATTATTTTCTAATTTGGAAAGAAGAATAAAGAAATAATAGTTGGATGCGGAACAATGTAAATAATGACATATACATAATTATATGATTTATTTGATTAGATAATATAAGAGTGTAACAAATTACTAAGAGATGATAATAATAAATCATTTTTTTAAAGTATCTTTGCGGAAAATGCATGGTCTTGAGAATCCTGCAGAAGGCGAAGCTCTCAAAGAATTTTTGCTCTCCGCAGGAGCATTTGCTTCTGCATGTGCAAAAGGAAAATTCTTATATATGTATTGCACTTTTGGATAGTTTTTTAGCAACTTTATATATACATACTGCACTTTTTTTTTTTGGATAGGAATCATGAATGTTAATTATCTTATATAATTAACATTCACAAATATTGGAGAAGAGGGTAATATTAGATAATTGCTTTGTAATTATGATAATTAATAATTTGTTCATATTAGTATGGATGTTGTAGAGGTAAACATATTAATTAATTATTAATTATATAAAAATGCAATAAAAATCGTTGGAAAAAATCGTTGCTACACACAACCATCAAGGATCATTATAATGATATAAATATTAATATCATTTGATGTATCAGTTAGTATTAAAATACCCCAATGATTGAAATTTAACCAACTGTAACAAATTTTTGTCACACGCGTTATTTGAATTAGATATGAAAAATGTTTAAATAAACATTACAATATAAATTATCTTTATTTGTTAATGGAAAAATCTCATTCGACATAAAAAAGTAATTTATTCTGTTAAACAAATTATTTAAAAACGAGTCATCTACCATATCTGCCTGTTGATTTTTATCAATTATGGCAAAAAGAATGTTTTTTACAAGTTTTTTTTTATCTTGCATACAGTTACAAAGAAAAAAAACAAGGAATCCTTAATTAATTATTACAAGTCTGATTGCGAATTAGTCTTTTGCCGTGTCTGTCTGTTGATATGGCAACTTATAACATGGCAAAAATATGTTTTACAAGTTTTTTTTCATCTCGCATACAGTTACAAAGCAAAAAAAGGAATTAGTGGATTTTAGTTTAGTAATAAAATTCGATCCTTATAACAGTTTTCTTGTAATTTTCAGGATTCTTTTTAAAGAGTTTTATTTTAATTTAATATTTAAAACTTGTAAATTTTTTAATCTAACACAGCTCAAGTCATCTAAACCTGACCACTATAAGCAAAACCTGGAAAATTTTAGAATATCAAAGAAAAAATTTTGACTTGAGCTATACTAACATTTTATCAAAATTAAAAAAATTAAAAATTTATATATATATAAATAAAATGAGCAACAACAACAACAACAATAATATCAATAATAACAACAATAATAATACATTTGCATTTTTAATGCAACAACAATTACAACAACTTACTCCGTCTCCTGAACCACCACAACTTGTCCCGCTTATTCCAACCCCTACTCCCATCCCTACTCCCATTCCTACAACCACTCTTGCAACCAAAATTTTTTTATTAACAAAACAAATTCCAGCTAGTCAAAAGTATCTTTTATTCACTTGTGATTTATTTATTTCAGTGCCCTTGTTTATATTCATTGTTCATTGCAATAATTACCAATATTTCCAATTAATCTTTAGACTAACCAACCAAACATTAATTGTGACCTTTACATATCCACTAAAGTAAACAAAACATGGCCTTTTGCAAAAGCTTCACAATTGTTGCCATTTTACCAATATGTTGTGTACTGTCACTTTCACAAAAAGTGCTTTAAGCAAAGAAAATAAAAACAACACTTTCATTTTTATTAATAATTTTTAAGGACCAATTTATTTAAAATAATGATACTATTACAGGTTTATTTTGTTAGAATGTAAATTGTGTGTTTATTTTCCTCTGCTCTTTCAAGAAAGGACCTGAAGTTGTTTCGAATCATTGAATTTCTACAATATTATCATACATAACATTCACATGTTTGATTTTTCAGTATTTGCAACAATAGCTTTTTGATGATAAAAATTATAAATTTCAGATGATGCTTGTTGTGATGAAATGGTATTTGAAATACTTTGAGAAATAGAATCAACTGGTAAAATAGAATCGAAACTTTTGGAAACTTTTTGGGAAAGGAGCAGACTTGCATTAGTAAAAATAGGTTGAAATTCTTGTTTGGGATCTCTTTGCTTTTTATTAACGCATTTTTAGTAAATAAAGAAATGCTTTGTAATTTTTTATCATAAGCAAAAAAAAAGACTTTTATGCAAAAATAAACTTTTTTTCATTACGGGCGTTGGTCTCCGTGAAATAACTATCACGTATATAGTAGATAGACAAGTTTAGGTGCAGGTGTTTGTAGTTTTAAAATTGATGAAAATAGTAAACAAAAAAAATCCTGAAATTCTTTTATTGTTGAATCAATCACTAGAGTTTGGAATGATGCAATTTTTATTTTCATAAACTATTTAACTGTCAAAAAAACCCCCGTTATAACAAAAGGTTAAAAAGCGTGAATTATTATCACTAGGAAATGTATATACAAATAATATTGCGAGAAAATTGTTTGTTACATGCTCCGCATAGAAAAAAAAAATTATAAATTAACATTTATCTCAAAAAACTACTCATTAAAACACCAAAAACATTTATTTTATATAATGTCATATGTTAAACTATTATCACAAGGAAGAAAGGAATTTGTATTTAAAATTTATAATGAAATGCATAATAATGCAACAGTTAATTCTGATATAGAAAGTAGAAAAGAATATTTATTCAAGAAAAAAAATATAAATAGACGTTTGTATTTAGTTTTAAAAGAAATATAAATAGATGTTTGGTTACTTTGAAAAGTTCAATTTTTAAATTTTTCTGTCGCGCGTAATCATGATTAATCACGTGAGGGACGGTCCTATTCCAAAAAATTTTCGTTTATTATCGCCACAAAATTATATTAATAATTTTGTGTTACTATTAAAAAATTTTTTCTCAAATTATTAATAATTAATCATTAGAAAACAATGATTGATGACATTACTCTAACAATTTTAGTCAATTCTTTGGGAGGGTTATTGATAGCAATGATTTTTGCTTATCATTATGTTGTTGTCAATTCAAAACAAAATAACATAAAAAAATGACAATTTTTTATAGGTTTGTATTGCAATTATAAATTGTTTAAAACACATTAAATATCATTTCACGTTAATTAATTTACCTTTAATTCTTTTTTTTTTATAAAAACAGGTTTAAAAATATAATCCAATTATTATTTAATAAATAAATAAATAATAAATAATAAATTCTTTTTTAATAATCTAAATAATCAATTTTTAAGATTCATCATTCTTATTTATCGATCACCCAATGAACTCATAAGATTAGATTCATTATTTTGATCTATGGATAGTTGCAATATCAGCTTGAGCATTTGGTAGAGCTTCCAAAATTGACATTACAACATCTTTTGTCTTGCAGTAGTATAAATTATACATTCAGCTATATCAAATAATAAAAAATGGGATTAATATATCTTCTAATAATAATAAATGATATATGATCATTAGTGAATAATTAATTATATTTTACCAATATCTTTTGATGGTAATGGATCAAAATCCTTTATAATAAAGTTTTGAAAATTGATTGTTGCCTCGAGTTCTAACTAATGCAAATCCTGCCTCAACAACTCCTAATAAATGAATTATTAATCAATTAATTAATCGATCAATCAATCAATTATTTATTTATCTAATTGTTTAATAAAAGAGATTTGTTTGTTTTCCCTTCTTCTAAAATAGTATAAATGATGATATTGAGTGTATCAAGAAGAATTGTAAAGATTACCTGGTCTGATTAATTTTACTACTCGAGGTTTATTTACAAATAGAACTAACATTTTTTGATAAATATTACTTCCTTTTAGAATAAATAGTATATAAACAATATGCTTTGTGGTTTCTTCTATTGCAAATTTTATAGCTGCATATACAACAGTATTACCATATCTATGACTATTCATTCCCTGTTTTAATTATACAATACATACATGACATATATATTAAAATTAATTAATTACCAGGATGCTTTAAATATTGATATTATCATACCTTTTCATTATTGAAAGTACAACTTGAGTCACATATAAAGGTCCGTTGATATTTGTATTAATGATTGTTTCTATACCTTTTGA